AGCAAGTCTTCTTAGGAACATTCCAAGCTGTTATTCCAAATTCTGAGCCTGAGTGGGATTAATCTCTAGGGGTAGATAATAGTCAGGTGATATGGCACCAGAGCAGCTAACTTTAGTAATCAGGTAAGGAAGGTTTATGCTGAAAGCCTTAGTGTTCACTCTGCCTCTGAAGCAGTCCCTGATGTAATGATCACATTTTCCATTGAAGTCAGAAGAACTAAAAATAACTAAATGAGCCAACCTGTGACACTGTTTCTTGGAACACCATTGATTCATTGTTGTAGTTTTATAATCTCCATAGATGCATATACTTCCTATAGTATTATAGCGCAGAATTTGTGGTTACCTATTCAAGGTAAAATTTCCTCTTTGCAAAAATATAGCTCATTTTAAATTTAAAAAAAAAACTAATATAAGTATCTTAATTTAGTAGCTTTTTAAAAATTCTTGAAAGGATTTCAGCATTAAGATCAACTTTAGACATCATCCCATTTTGATGGAATATATACAGAATTCATATTGAAGACTATAATACAAATCACATTTTTCATTTTCTTACCAGAGAGGGGTCAGTCTTTTGTTTCTCCATAGATAAGGTCTTAAGTACTCATTTGTTGCCTGGCATGTCAAGATGGGAGGGGAGAAGCAAGTTGCCACCTCAACAAGGAGCCCAATTCTCATGGGTCCCTTGCAGCAGGAATAAATGTAGAAGGAAATGGGTGGGGGAGTAGGGGAAGGTTTAAGAAAGAGATATCATGATAGGGACAAAAACAACTTATAGCAAGATTGTAAACGATATAGTTTTAATTGTACAATTACCCATACCAGTGAGTCAAAAAAGGATAGGGATGAAGATGAGTGGAATTGTGATTTAACTGGTATCAGAAATTCCCTCTACCAATGTAGTTTGGAACACTCTCTGCAACTTGGAGCTAAGTGCCATAGTGGATAAAGTACCAGACTTGCAACCAAAAAGACCTCAGTTCCAATCCTATCTCATATACTTACTAGCCTTGGGACCCTAGGTAATCCACTTAACCTCTGTCTTTCTCAGCTTTGTTATGTACAAAATGGGAGTAATAATCACATCTACCTTCCAGGAAGATTATGAAGATAAAATGAAACAATATACAGAAAATGCTTTGCAAACCTTAAAGTGTTACATAAATGATAGCTATTATTACTGCTTGAGATTTTAGAGGGTTGCCTAAAGCACAACTGAATCACCCAGGGTCACACTGCCATTTTGCGTCAGAAGAGGGACTTGATCCCATATCTTCCATTTCCCTGGTCACTACATCATTCTGCCACTCTTCAGTGAAAGAGATAAAATAAGTAAAATCCACTAAGACAAAGAATTTGTTTTAGCCAATGGTTTCAGCTTTTCCCTTAATCAAAACCTGTGTCAAATCTATTGTTAATAAACAAAATTGATAGATCTGGATCTTACTTTTTCCCTCCTGCCCAAGTACTTACCAGCGCAGGTTGCCCATGAACAGTAAAATAACTATAAAATGGGTAACTGAAGGGACTAATGAGAGAAGGGACTAAAGATAAGATTTCCTCCATTTAGAGATGAGAGGAACATTAGAGGTCCTCTGGTCCAATTTCCCCTTTTTAAAGATGCGGAAACTAAGGACCAGAATAGTAAAGTGACTTGCTGTGGTCACAGAGGTAGAAAGTGGGAGAGCCAGGACTTGAGTTCTTTAACTTCAACTCCAAAGTTCTTTCTACCATACTTCAAATTCACCTCCTAGGATATCATTTGCTTTTCCTGGCTACTGAAAGTCACCTAATTCACCATATTCCACTGAGTTGTTCTGTTATTGACTGCAATTTTGTCACCGTAGTCACATCCAAAATGCTTATCACTTCACTGGGACAGACTTCAAAAAGCCTGATACATTGCACCTGGGAGGTTAAGATCATAACACGTTGTGAGGGAGAACAGCTTTTTTAATCTGTGGTTATGAATCATGTAATTATTTAGGATGGTTCATAGGATCACAGATTTGGAGCTGACTTCAATCCTCTCATTTTGCAAATGAGAACACTGAGGCCCAGAAGAGGTTAAGTGAGTTGCCCAGGGTCACACAGTTAGTAAGTGGCTGAGACAGACTGGGATCATCACATGGTACCTGTGCATCTGTTCAGTGATGGTTTTGTTTTTCCTGCATGCAGTTTCAACTATTTTAAAAACTTTGGTATGAATTTTCCCCCATAGCCTTGATTAGTATAGAGAAGTTAATTTGGCAATTCTGGTGGTAAGTATATGCCACTTTCTGCCTTCCGTTACGATGTTTTAGTATCCACGCATAGCCATATAGTCTTTTTTCAATGTTGTTTTCAAAGTAGAGTTACAACTGTACAAATTCCATGTAACAGCTAGGACGAGCTCCGTATTAAAAAAAATTCCTAGTAATCTTCCAAGTTTTATATTTCAGTGACAGGTTTCATGCATACACTAAGTTATTAAAGCATTAGAGTTTCTTTGATTTCTTAATCATTAACAACTTTAGCTGGTGGTTGCCCATGGAGTTGCAAGCTGTTAAAATTATCATTTGCTTCTTACTAATTTTAAAACCAAGAGCTGTTTCTTCATTAGCAACAGCACAGGTCTTTTTTATTTTTTTTTTTGGCACTACAGATTTTCAGATATGGTCTGGGTTTACTCCATTTTATAAAAATGCCAACCAAGACCTTTGAATGTTTCAAACATAATTTATGGAGGTGATGATTTGTCTTACCAAAAAAGAAATATTCGAGAAGACTTTCTTTAAATAGTGAGCTCTCCTAGTGTTCGCAGTCAAGTGTGTACTTACAGATGATGAATTATTTGACAGAGTAGTAGGAGGCAGAAAAATTTAAAGTTATGTTTCAATGGCAAGAGCCATTGCCAGTAGAAAGTCAGTCAGAATGAAAATAAAGCATCCCCAGCTTATAGTGTAAGTCAGTGGGAAAGCATGATTCGGTTCACAAAGATTCAATTTACATACAACCTTTTTTAAAAAAATACAACACAGTCACAATAAATATTTATTTGATTTTAGTTTTTGGCTGTTTTTAGCAACAATGAAATATTTTGCCTTAAAATTCATTTAAAAATGTTTAACACTTAGAAAAGAGGTTGTTTAATGAAATATCAAAATCAATATCTGAACTCCATAAAAATGGATTTTTCATCTTAGTTGTTGATTCTTTTTCTACAAGATTAGGTTTAAAGAAACCCTCAGTGTCCTATGTTCTATTACATTACACCTGTGAAGAACTATTATCATTACAAATGTTTATCTCCTTACTAATATAGTTTCCTACTGTTGCTTTTATCAGAGGCATATGTGGTATTAGCTGAAAAAGCACTGGATTTGTAGTCAAAACATCTGGGTTTAAGGCTCAGCCCCATTCCTTACTAAGCTGGGTAACCTTGTGCAAGTCAACTAACCTCTATGAGATTACTTCCTCTTCTTAATTGTAGTTCACATTTATGAATGCTTTACAATTTAGGAAGCACTTTGTTTACAACAACCTTGTGAAGGAGATAACAAAAGTATTATTATCTCATTTTGGGGTGGGAGGAAGGTCATACATGCTTAGAGCAGAGCCAGAACTCTCATCATGGGGCAAGGATGTTCTGACCCCAAGTACAGAGCTCTTTCCACTATACATGCTGCCCTTCTATAAAATGAAGAAACTAGACATCTCACAAAGTTATCGTGTGACTCAGAGAAGCAACTTACTGAAATTGCTTTGCAAGCAGTAGATATTGCATATAAATGTGGGCTTCTGCTTTTAATATCATCATCATCTCAATGATGTAGCTAGTATTAATGCAACTCCAAGGAAAAATATTTTACTATCTTCCTTAAGAATTTAGAAATTGTCTTACCACTGACTGTATCATCAGTATAGACACTCTTCAATGCCACTGAGATGAAGGCTTGTTTGCTCTATATAAACACAGTCTAAGAAGAAGTTGTATAAAGTACTTCCTGTCTAACCTAAAATTCCATGCCAGTTTTGAAATTTTCGTCATTTTACACCCCTGATATACTTGCTAGATGCAATTGACAATAGAGAAGTATAATCAGAAAACAGCTGGTCTCCATTTTATAATTACTCCATAATCTCATAATAAAGCTTCATATAATTGAAATCTGTAGGAAGTTGTTTCAGCTTTCTCTTCTCTAGACTAAATAATGCAAATTCCTTTCACTTCTTTTGATTAAACACCACAAATTCCAAACTGTATTAATTTAAATTGGTTAAACAAGTTCAGCCTATTTTATTAGCTAAGTAAAAATTCATAGCTGAAAATAATGAAGCTAAAACCAAATTGAGCACAGAGTGAATTGATGAGTATGGGAAACCTTCTGAAATGAAGTAAGGGTAGAATTAATTGATAAGGACCCTCCACGTTTTAATTTACTAAGGATCAAAGTTCCTTTGCCCCCTTCAGGCTGGATAGACCAACATCTTTATTGTAAGTGGTACTTCAATTCAACAAGTGGTCATTAAGTACTTACTACATTTTAGGCCCTGTTTCAATAAGCACTAGTTTCATTAGTCGGGAATGGTAAACTTCCTTGCCACCCCAAGGTAAAAACATATGATGAGTCTATAAACCATACTTGAAAGCTTTCCAGCTTTTTCACCTAGGAAATAGCCTTGGAAAACCCCTGGTCCCATCCATGACACAATGAGCAACCAGAATAGGTTTTTGTAGTCTAAAGAAAGACCTTGGAACTCTTTGTTTTAATTCTTTGTTCTTGGATTTCCCACCTTTGGTTAGTTTCTCAGGGAAAAGCAGAATTGAAAACGTCTTTATATACCAGCTTTCTAAAGTCTGTTTTATCTTGGCTAAATCCCTATCAACATGAACAGTGAAAGAAGGCAGATACACGTCACACGCCTTAGTCATTTTTGTGTGGTGCATTTGAAGACTCAAGGAATAATGTGTTTGTTGTTATTATTATTGTTGTTTTTTCATTCCATATTTTAAGGTACAAGCCTATGCAGAAAGTGGATGGGGTTGCAGATGGTTTCACAGGAAGTGGTCAACAGACAGGCACATCTGTTGAGCAAACTGTAATTGCCCAAAGTCAGCATCATCAACAGTTTTTAGGTATGTTAAGACATAATGTGAAACCTACAAAATAGCAACAAGTTTTTCTTAAAGTATCATGGTTCATTACAGACTAATTCTACTCTAAAGTTCTTTCTGCTGAAGTTATATATCCAACACAACATGATGGTTTGGCTCCTTCTTAGCTAAATACTCTTTTTTTAAAGATCTGGATTTGTGTTGGACTTTTTAATTCATACATACTAAGTAAATATGTATGGATGAGCTGCTAAAATGGGAAACCCTATGCTATTTCTAAAAGTTCTAGTGAAACTTTAGGGTTAAAAAAAATCACCCAAGACATTTTGTGTCTCTTACACAACTAAGACAGTATTGTTACAATTAGAGTTCTGGTCACATTTTATCTTGTCTTTTGTTCATGCCTCTAATTTTTGGTTGTAAAATATTAAGATGAAAGTAGGAAAAGTCTTGGCTTTTTGGCCCCCTGACTTTACAAAAACAAAGCCTTTGTATTCTTAAATTTTTTTCTCATTAAACTGTAATTGGCACCATCCACAATGCTTTTTTTTTTCTATTCTGTTGTCATGGTAACAGATGCATCGAGAGCACTTCCAGAGTTTGGAGAAGTTGAAATATCTTCTCTACCAGATGGTACTACCTTTGAGGATATCAAATCACTGCAGAGTCTTTATCGAGAGCACTGTGAGGTAAGTAAGACTTTTCAAACAAATTAAGTCATACTAAAACAGCTAGCTAAAAGCAAATGATATGTCTCTTGCATAGGAGAGAAGCTGATCCTAATGCTTTGTTGAGCAAAGTCTATTCAACAAATACTTATCAAGGGCTTACTGTGTGCAAGGAACTGAGAGTTGTTTTTTTTTTTAAGGACCTAGTCTCTAGGAGCTTAACAATCAAACAGAATAGAACATAGGCGCACAAATAATGATGCAGGAGTGAAAGTTATAAGACAAGTAAAACATACAAGTAAAGTGTTATTAGGAATCTGAGCCTGGAGAAATGACTTCATTCAGGGAGAAGGGAAGTTAGGGAGAGTCATAAGAGTTCACAAAAGACATGGTGCCCATGTTGAAAGTTGAAGGAAGGGAGCAAGTTCAATAGACAAAGAGAAAGGGAGCACATCTTCTAGGCAGGCAAGGAGGCAGTGTGGCCAGAGGCACAGGTGGAAGGGTGAGGAGGGTAGCCTGATTTGGTGGTGATATAAGGTTCATGGAAAGGATGTAGTAGAAGATAAGTTAAGTTGCAGGCAGATTATGGAAAAAAGAGATTTTTCTTTGCTTTTTCCTGCCTAACTATAGAGTTGAAGGATACAAAGAAAGTGTTATAGTTATTCCCTCCAGAGATCACTGAGGTTTCTATTCTTCTCCTCAGGTTTCTCCTTGTGTCATTCATATATAGGACAAATATATATACAAATATGTAATACATATGTACACATGTATATATATATATATATATACATATATATATATACGTATATACATACATATATATACGTATATATATATGTATATATATATATATATATATATATACACACATACATATACATACACACAGACAAATATGGTGCAAGGAAAAGTTTATGCCCATATATACAAACATGCATGCATGCATACATATACACACACATACACATACATATATATGTGGGTCTGTGTATATGTACACACTTACCTTAAGGCTTAGTTACAGGATCCTAAGATTTAGGGCTGGAAGGAACTCATAGGACATCAATGATTAAAGGGACCACACAGATCATATAGTCCAACCTTTACCTGAATAGAAATCTCTTCTAAAATATCCCTGGCAGTTTGTTTTTCAGAATTTCTAAGGACCTTACACTTCATCACTTCATCAGTTCTTCATCACTAAGAATCAAAGTTTCTTTGCTCCCTTCAGGCTGGCTGTCTATGGGATAGACCAATGTCTTTATTATAAATGGTACTTTAACTCTATTCAATTCAATAAGCATTTGATCTCTCCTTGGTAAAACCTCCAGTGATAGGGAACTCACTACATGCAAAGACAGCTTGATTGCCTACTGAATGGCTTTAATTGTTTTCTGTCTATTAAGGGCCAGATTTTCCTAGCAGATTGCTATGACTAGTCAAGAGTCCTTTCTAGTCCAACCCACTCATTTTATAGCTGAGTAAAATGGGGCCCAACAAAATCAAGTGGCTTGCCTGAGACCACAGAGGTAGTCAGTGGCAGAACTTGTATTTAAAAATAGATCTCCTGACTCCATATCAGTGTCTTACCACCACCACCTCCACATACCCCATTTTGTAGGAATACTAAATTCCGGAAGCTTAGACCCAGGCAAGAGGCCAGGGTTAGAGTGAAGATTTTAAGCCAGCTGACTCGGTCCCACAAAAAGTTCTGTACCTTCAAATCAGGTACTGATCTATGTAGAAGGAATTCCCTATGCCAATGATATCAAAGGTCTACCCCTCCACCAATATACTATATTCCTATGCCTGGAAGCTAGTTGAGGAGGAAGACATAGGGATCCCTGATAAGGGAGCTCTCAAGGGAATCCTTTAACCTTTTCCCTCTAATCATCAAGAGAAAAGTAAGGGCAGATCCACTACAGGGCTTGGAAAGTGTCTGACTCAGCTAACCCTTAGTTGATTTGAGAAAAAAATTGCTAATGATCAGAACTATCTCAGAGTGGGTCAGGCTGCCTCAGGAGGTAGTGGGATCTCTCTTACCCTGAGTTCTTCCAGCAATATTGGATGACCACTTTTTCATCATGGTGGAGAGTAGACTTGCTCAGTAGTGGGTTGAACTAGATGATGTCTGAGGTGGCTTCCAGCTCCAAGATTCTGTGATTAAAATTTTGATCTTCTGGTCCTAAATCCAGGGTTCATAGCACAAGACCACTTGGAAGTTTCCTACAGCAGGAACAGCTTGGGCATGATCAGCTCCTAGATGGGTTTAATACGCTTGTTTCTAAGCTAATAGCTACCAGTTTCAGAGTTGGGCATTTTCTTTTGCCTGTAAGATTTTCTTAAGTGTTTCTCTCTTTGAAAGAAGATTATATTTGAAATTTAGATATCTTTATTTCAATATTGTTCCTGGATTCACCCTTAGTAGAATGCAATCCTTTGGCTATTATGAACATCTTACTCCCAACTGCTGACAATGCAATATGCAGTGAGATTTCTCAACTCATAGCATTAATGGTTTTATTTTTTTTCCACTCCAGAAGTAAGAAATGTTTGAGTAAACCTGAATGCTTCTCAGAAGTGCTGGGTTATTAGCAACCAAAAGCAAGTTCTCATATTATTAACATAGCACATGACAGATCTTCTCCATGTGATCTTAACAGTTTGTCTCAATCATTTGCTACAGTGACCATTTTAACCATAAAAGTCAGTGAATATTCATCTCCCTGTTGATCCTTATGTTTTTTCCCACTGACAATTTTGGTATAGCTCACCTCTCTAATAGGAATTAAATTAAGAGAACGGTGTTAGCATATCCTCCTCTACCTCTAATAATTATAAGATTTAGAATCAGAAGGACCATAGAGATCTTCTCATTTGTTTTACAGATGAAAAAACTTAAGCCTAAAAACTCAAAACTTGAGTTACTCGAGGGCAAGGAACTAAATAACAGATCTGAGTTTTGAATAATGACTGTTTGAGTCCAAATACCAGGCCCTTTCCCTTGAACTACATTTCCTTCAGTGAAGAAGACAATACAGCTAATTTGGTAGGGTTTTTCTGATTCCTATGGGCAGAATTTAAAGAAAAGATGAATGAGCGAAGATTTGCTCAGCAAAAAGTTTTTCAAATAAATTTTAATTGTTATCTTTTTGTCTTTATATCACCTTTATTTCCCAATTTATACGTTTTCCCATCTCCTCCCAGAGAAGCATCCCTGATAACAAAGAGATGGGAAAATAGTTCAGCAAAACTAGCCAATAGAATGAAAAAGTGTAACAAGAGTTTTACTGTTTCATCCCCTTATCTACCACCTCTCATCTCTCTTCTTTGGGGCTAAGCTTGGTCATTGTAATTTCATAGCATTCAGTTTTGATTGCTTTGTTATCATGGTTCTTCTCATTTACATTGGTCATGGTCTGTGAGCATATTGTTTTCATGGTTCTGCTCACTTCACTTTGCATCAGTTCCCATGCTTCTCTGTGGTCTTTATTTCTTATATCCTGATATTTGATTAGATTCACGCATCACAACTTGTTTAACCTTTTCCTAATTAATGGGCACTTCTTTGCTTCTAATACAAAAAGTGCTCTTCGAAAAGATTTAGCACATGCCAAATTCCCTGGAACATTAAAATATGATTTGATTTACAAAACATTGGTGTACATACAGTATTTCAAAGATACAGAGGGACAGAGAAGTCATGGAATATCAGAAGGGACCTCAGAAACTATCAAATCCAACCTGTTTCTGACCTCCAAGGTCACAAATTCTGAAATTCCCCTCTTTGTTCATAATCCCCTCTCCTTTCATTTCTTCCACTGCTGAAATTGGTCTAGCCCTTTGCCCTGTGCTTCATTGATCTCCTTTTTTTCCCCAATTTACCATTCCTGTTTTAGCTTTACAATCTCTCCCTTTACAATCTTGACTCTATAGTAAAGCAGTTCAAGAAAGCACTATCTTTCACTTTTAAATCCCTCAGATGCTTGTTATTTTGTTTGTTATTTCTCCTTGTTGAGGAAGTAATGAAATCATAATGAGTCAACTAAAAGTCATGCTATTGAACCTTACTACTCATTTCTGACTGACTCCCTTTCAGGCTTTCCACCACAGCTATTACAAACTCTCTCATCTTTCCTCCTTCCCCCAACACCACCCCACTCACCTCTGAAGATGCCCTTGCCTCCTACTTTAATGAGAAGATTGAAGCTGTCCTTCCTAAGTTTTCTCATTTTCCATCCTTTTCTTCTCAAAATCCTGTCTTTGCTCCGTTCTCAGAAGACCCTACTTCTTACCAAATTAAATTCTTTCCTTGTGCTATTGATCCATTTTTTTCTATCCTTATCCCCCCACCTCCATGGAGCTGTTTTCTTTGAATCATACCCTCTCTACTCATTTCTTCCCCATTGTCTATAAACATTCTTAGGCTTCCTTTATTCTTTTTCATTGACCCTGTTAACGGGTTTGATTTATCCTCATATATCTCCTCCCTTTTACTGTTAAACTTACAGAAAGATTAGCGCACACTCAGTGTTTCCATTTCCTCCACACCCATTTACAGAGTTTCTCAACCACCTACAATTTTCTATTGCCACTACTCTGCTGAAACTTTTCTCTCCCAGACCTTAATTGCCTTAATTAGCCTTTTAAAAATTCCTAACCTCCCTAACCTTTCTGCAGCATTTGACACCATTGAACCCACTTCCTGGATTGACTTTCCTCCTTTGGCATCTTGATACAGCTCTCCTTTTGATCTTCTTATACCAGTCTACTTTACTGGTTCATTGTCCTATTGCTTCTCAGACATATTCTTCTAAGATTCTGTCGTAGGTCCTTTTTTCTTGTCTTTCTACTTCTTCTCCCTTAGTATTTCCTTAGTGTCTCATACCTCCACCTTTATTCAGTTGCCTTTCCAATTTGTGTCTTTACTCTCAACCTCTTGGAGATGAGGTCCTGCCTCTCCAACTGACTGTTAGGCAAATCTCCACCTGAAAGTCCTATTGCCATCTCAAACTCAA